GTCGGGAGAAAAGTTTGCCTTCGGGGCGTCGCTTGAGAGATCAGTGGAAAGCAGAGAGGCATGCGGATGAATTTGCTTGGATGTTGTTTTGTTGTTGTTTTTTTTAGCAGGGCAGAATCCAGACGCCCAGCACGATCGGGGCAGGCCCTTTCACTTAAGCATCGGATTGCGTCTTGGATGACCCCGCCTTGCTGCACGCCCCAGCACGCCCTCGCCATGTCACCCAAAGCGTAGCGGGCGGGAGTGACGAGGCAAGTTGTGGGTCAGGGCTGGTCTTGGCGTACTTCGTGATGCGTGGATAGGCGGGGGAGTCATTGAATATTGCCTTTAGTTGCATTTCCCGATTTGCAATATCCACTTTTTATGTAAGGGAGAGATGTATAGCCATGTGATGACGAAATCGTATATAAAATTGTGTTACATTTTTTGAGTAACGTGTTAACGAGCCCAATCTATTGCCTCGGATTCCTTCATTAAGAAACGAGAGTTAATTGCGAGACCCCTGGCCTAAAAAAAAGGTTAATTAGAGCACTCATAACCTGCTATCTGTGCGAAATTGACCCGTTTTTGGAAGGACTTGCCCACATCTATGTAATTAACGGGAATGCGGAACTGGTCAGCTGTAAGAGATGCAAGTGTTGAAGTGCAGCGCGTCCGGGTGTCAGAGCCGTCCTGCATATGGAGGAGGGTGAAGGAGGTGCCGGGCGAGGCTCTCTCTCTCTCTCTCTCTCTCTCTCTCTCTCTCTCTCTCTCTCTCTCTCTCTCTCTCTCTCTCTCTCTCTCTCTCTCTCTCTCTCATCTCTCTCTCTCTCTCCTCTCTCTCCACTCATCTCATCTCTCTCCCCCCTACTCTGCCTTCTACTCTCTCCCTCATCTCATCTCACTCTCTCTATCATCCTCTTCTCTTCTCTCCTCACACAAGACACACACACACACACACACAACACACACCATCCACACACACAGCACACACAACACCACACACACACACACACCACACACACACACACACACACACACATACATAACACACATACATATACACACACAGTATATGTGATAGATGCCCCCCGCAAGGACGTTAATTACGCTCGCTTCATGACGGCAACAATAGCAAGCCTAACGACGCCACAGCTGCCCTGCCGCGCCAGATGCGCTTCGTAATTACAATGCCTCCGTTCCTTCCTCCTCTTTCTCTCCTCTCACTCACTCACCCATTCAGGCCCTCACTCACTCAATTACTCACTAACACACGCGCACGCACGCATGCTCCACACACACACACACACACACACACACACACACACACACACACACACACACACACACACACACACACACACACACACACACACACACACACACACACACACACACACACACACACTCACACTCACACTCACACTCACACTCACACTCACACTCACACTCACTCACACTTCATATGCACTTAGGGCCTGATTTCCCGTGTTTCCCATCGCCGCGGCCCGCCCCTGCGCCGCTCCCTTCCTCCGTGCTTGACTGGTGGCGCTTCAGATTTCAGCGACAACGCCGCCCTTCATGGCAACTCGGGGCAGATGAAAGACCTTTATTTCTGCTGTTGCGACATGTCAGGTTGTCCTCCCCCACCCCCGGGTATTAAATTATGTAATAACTATTCATCTCCTTGCATGTACGCAAATGCGTTACTTCTGTAAGTAATTTTGATCCCAAGTTGCGTCATAAATCGCCACTCATCTCTCCAGGGCGTGTATTTACTGGCGTCTGGGAAGGGCTGGCACTTGTCGCAGCTCCCACCCACTCTGCCCGCCTCCCTCCCCCACTCCCTCCCCCACTCCATCTCCTCCTCCTCCTGCTCCATCTCACTCCCTCACTCTCTCCCTGCCATCCAAGCAAGATTATGCTACGGGCAAAAAAAGTTCTAACCTTGTGCAGAACAGTTAAGTACACTGGGCCCCCGCCAGCATGTGCTCCTCGGGGCGTTTTTATCTCTCAGGGGTGGGAAGTTTAGTAGCATGGTTGGGACCGACCCCACCCCCTCCCCCACTCTGCTGTAGTCAGGATCGACCCCCCTCGGTCTTGTGGCCCCCCTCCCCCCCTCCACTCCTTCGGCAGGTCACGAAGGCTGTCGGTGCCCTTGTGATTTCGCTTTTGTCACTAGCTGTTGTCATGACTGTCATTTCAGGCGCCGTTTACGTCATTACAGTTCAGGATAGGTGACAAGTATGCGAGTGGATTGTTTGTTTATTTCAGTCGAGTGAGAGATATTGTTATGCCTTTGCAATGTGACAGTTATGTGCATAGAGAATGTTGATTTGGCTCTGCTCGACTCTCGGTTTGTAATATACCTGCAAGTTATTTATACGTAAGAGAAGAATGCTTATATATACACGCGAGCTGACGGGCCCAGGGCAAGGTCTGCCGCTCTAACCTCTGGCATTTAAGAGGCGCGGTGATCAGAAGTTGCCTCGGTGCAGCTGTCCCACGGTTCAGGCCTTGATAACATTGATTGATACAGCATTACAATACCATTACAGTTTCTCGTGTCATGAAGTATTAAACGCGCCGGGGATAGCACGGGGGATATTCGAAACAAGAAGCAAGAGCGCCTTTTTAAGTCCGGGGTTCTCTCCCTGCTCCGCCTCGACATCCGCGAGGGGCGCCGACGGCCTCGCCTCTCGGGGACTTCGAACGCCGAGGTCTATCTCGGTTGGGGCGCGGTTGGCAGCCCTGCTAGTCAACTTGTTTGTTAGAAGTTAATAGACAGTCGGATCTGTATTTGTTTAATGTCAATGGGTGGCCTTGGGTTGCCATAAGAGTGGGCGGTCGCTGGCGGTGCTTGAGCGAGGGAGGGAGGGAGGTTGCGATACTAAGCGGGAGTGGCGGGGAAGGGGAAGGTGCGATGCAGGTGTTCGGACAGGTGTACAATGGGAGTTCGATATATATATATATATATATATATATATATATATATATATATATATATATATATATATATATATTATGTATGTATGTGTATATACCTATATGTATATATATGTACACACACACACACACACACACACACACACACACACACACACACACACACACACACACACACACACACACACACACACACACACACACACACACACATATGTGGGAGGCAGACAGAGACAGAGAGGGCTAGGGAGGGAGGGGAAGGCGTGGAAGATAGAGGCAAAGAACCGTAGAAAAGGAATGTGAGGTGAGATACTCGGGCGATGCTGGTGACGACACTCGATACTACGCGTCCGGGTCTTACTTTGTGCCTTAGTTACACACGCCATTAGCATTCCTATTCGTCTTACCAGTATTTTAATTTTTAAAAATCCAAATGGCCTACATTATGGTGGCAATCCATTCTGCTTAAACTTTAGATAAAAAGAAATGATCTTTCGCCACGAAGTTTCCACACGAAATACGCCCTCTCCCCCGCCCTTTGACATTAAGTCTTGGCCAAGCAGAACTGGACGGGAGCTGAGGCAATGCGGCGGAGTTTTGTTCCTTTAGTTATATTTAGTTTTAGTGTTGATTGTTATGCCCGGTCTGGTCTTGCTGTGAGCTCTCCGATGGCTGACAGATACACTAACGTGAGTGCGGAGAGGGTTGGATTCACGGCCAATTTCCGAAATACAAAAACACATCCCTATTAGGTAACTGTTCGTTCTTTTAGTGTGTTCGCTTCAGTGAGCGAAGTCGTAGAGGCAGACCTTTCGTTTAAGATATTTTTGGTTGATTGTTATTCTATGTTCCTCTGCTTTGCTCTCCGTCTTCTTTTTCCTACTTCTTGTTCTTCATATTCTCTTCCTTCAATCCTTCCCCCCTCCCTCTCTCTCTCTCTCTCTCTCTCTCTCTCTCTCTCTCTCTCTCTCTCTCTCTCCTTTTTTCTTCCTCCCCCTTGCTTCCTTTTTTCTCCTCCTTGGCCCCGTAAAGCTTCCCCATCCCCGCCCCCCTCTGACATCTTCACCGCCCAAGCGCCCGGGGAGCATGAAGGCAGGGCATCCCCGGAGATGCTGCTTCGCTCCGTGGTCAACCGCCGGAACATCCGCCATTGTTCCAGCCGCCCCCCGATTGCGCAGTGCTGGGTCCGTGCTCAGTGGGCGCTCGAGTACCTTCCCTTGACTTGGTTTACCTCACATGCTAATCAGGAGACTTTTATATTGCGGTCCTCTTCATACTTTCGATGACTCTGCAACGGTTTTTTATTCCTTCCCTGGTATCAGTCCCCATCTTCGTGACCACATGTTCGCGGATTTTTTTTGTTCTTTTTCTTTTTTTTCTTTTTTTCACAACGCATGGGTGTGGTGGCATCGCTGTTGCCGGAAAGCACATTCACCAGGGGTCAGAGCGGCGTGTTATCGGTGAAAGGGAGGTGTGCCAGCATCATGAGTGGCTCAGCCCGGGATGCCAGCTGCCGTGTCGCAACGCTGGCCTCGGTTCGGCTCATCCACTCCACGCAGGGTTTGTGGGGGATGGACTGAATACATTGAAGGAAAGGGAAATTGAAAAGCTAGGGAGGGCGTTGTGAAAGGCCTGGGTTATATCTCGTGTGTGTATTTCTTAGTGGGTGAACAGTAATAGGAAAAAACGGTATATTTATTTAATTTGCTTTGTGTACCCAGATTGGAGGTAGCTTACAGATTGAAAAATGTTGCAGCACTTCTGTTTCGTGTTGCGCAATGATGACCATGTGTTCTCTTCGCGTTTTGTAATAGGTTGTCTGCAGACTACTTCATGGCCAGCGAGAAGTTTGTCATGTCCATAGTCTAAATGGCGTTGCTGACACTGGGCCGAACTTGCGCATTGTTCTCCCAGACAATCATTGTCAACTAAAGGCAGTAACACCCACCACTTTTCTCTGACATTCTTTTCCTCTCTTTTCGCAATTCTCTTTTTCGTTGCGAATTTCCCTGTCGATTAAGTTATAGTAAAGATGATGCACCAAGACGCTAACCAGTGTTTTTTCTCCTCCGCAGGACCTACCACAAGGACTCGTACATGGCCCACCGGCGGGACTGGAAGACCGGCTTCGAGGGGCGCTACAGGAGGACCATCTCCCCCTCCGCCGCCAACCGCAATCTTCTCTACTCCCGCGATGACAACACCAACAACAACCACAACAACAACAAAAACAACAACGACAATACCAACAACAATATCAACTCGCCTCCGTCTTCCACCTCGGCGACGTCCGGCAGCGCAGTGACCAGGACCAGCCCTACGCCGCCCCAGGAGCAGGAGCGGAGGAGCTCGACCACGCCCCCGTCGGGAGTCCTGCGCCCCGTCGGCTCGTCCTCCAGCCTTGTCCAGAACAACAACTCCAAGAATGTGATTGACAACGACAACAACGTCAATAACAATGGTAAGAATGCGTTCAGTCATTACCGAGAAGTTCGTAACGAAGAGGGGGTCTGTTCGTGCCGCGAATTCAGATTGTAAAGAATACTTTTGTTTGTGATAAGGCTTAGGCGTGCGGGCGCTCTCCCTCATCAGATGGTATCTCGGGCAGGGAAATTCTGCAGCATCATTTTAATGCCTGCGCGAACACGGCCGGCGAGCGAGGTCCACTTGTCCGCGCGCCGTGCTGATGGCCTCGGCGTGTTTGTTCTGCCGAGTGCCGTGGCCTCAGAACAGCGCCGCGGCATTCCGCATA